TCTCTTTTCTTGTTTTGATTTAAGATAGATTGATAGTATTCCTATAATATTTACATAGGTTTTTTATGATGTATTGGTTTTTATTGTTGACATCCAATGATGTCATAAGAATGTTTTGTTTAACAAGGAAATTCACAGAATTCATGAAACTAATCAAACCATGTAATTGTTATACATGCTAAATATGCACATAAACTTAACTAAATTAAACATAAATTGCATTCATAGTTGAATAGGTATTTAAATTATTTTGATGTATGTGTCTATCATTATTTGCTTTTAAATACATTTAACATATCTTTGTTTCAAAGTGTTTAATCTTTTATAGATGTAAGTATAAGGACACTAAGAAGGATAAAAAATGAAGCATTAATTAATAAAGGAAAATGGGACACTCCTGGGAAAAAACGACCTCATCAACCAACAGTGTCTGCTTCAGATAATTTTGATTTAAGTGCAATTCGGAATAAAGTAAATGAATTTTACTGTGTGAAAAAAATTGTTCCAACATTAAGAAGCCTTCACAATGAATTAAAAGATGCAATAGGATTCAGTGGTAGCCGTGAGACTTTACGAAAAATTATGCTTAAGAATGGATTTTCTTTTAAAAGCAATGAAAATGAACGTTCTATGCTTATAGAAAAATATTTGTATTTGAGAGAAATAAATATAAAACGAAACGAAGGAAAGCAAATTGTGTACCTTGATGAAACTTATGTACATCAGAATTATAAAGTTAAAAAGTCTTGGCAAGGACCTTCAACAACTGGTGTCACTACAAAGATATCCTCTGGAAAACGGCATATTGTTGTGCATGCTGGATCTGAGGAAGGTTTTGTGCCTGGTGCATTATTAGTGTTCAGTAGTAAATCCAAATCTGCTGATTATCATGATGATATGAACTCATCGAACTTTATGAAATGGGTCAGAGAAAAATTAATACCAAATTTAAGTAAGCCCAGTGTAATTGTTATGGATAATGCCAGCTACCATATAAAACAAATCAATAAACCGCCTATAATGTCTAATACCAAAGCAGATATCCGTAAATGGCTTGTAAATAATGGAATACATTTTGAGGAATATCAGACAAAGGCAGAGTTAATGTGTTTGGTTAATGATAAGAAAACATTGCCTGTATATGAAGCTGAAGAGATTTTAAAAGAACATAATCATGAACTTTTATTGCTGCCACCGTATCATTGTGACTTAAACCCAATAGAGATGGTTTGGAGTCAAGCAAAAAGAAAAATTGCAAGCAGAAACATTGGAATACCAGGAAAGGAAATGGAAAACTTAATAATAGAGTGTTTTAACTTAATTACCCCTAGTGACTGGAAGAAATACACTGATCATGTTTTAAATGTCGAAAATGATTACAAATTAAAAGATGGCATTGTTGAAAACGAACTTGAAAAATTTATTATATCTGTTGGTGCAGACAGTAGTGAAGAGAGTGACTCTGATGATTCCTTGTCATTGTTATCAGGTGTAGAATATTTAGAAACAGATTTTGACTATGAATCAGACTAAAGTATTTTTAGTCTGATTCATAGTCAAAATCTTATCTTAAATTTTCTATTGTGATTAACATGATGATTTTGTGACACCTGTATTATGTAATTTATCCATGGCACTTAATTGTAACAAAAATAAATGTTTTTTTTATTGTAATCTGGTGTTTATATTGACTAATTTAATTTGATAGATAGTGGTTCTGGATCAGAGCAAAAGGTTGTGATGAAAATCCCTTAGGAGACATGTATGTGTTATGAACACATTATAAATATAAGGGCCAGAAATCAAAATTGGCTAACATCACATTTATTAAAAAAATGTGGCCAGAGTCGCCCATATTCATTACAAAAAAACAAAGAAGTCGTTGCAAAAAACACCCTTTTAATTAATGACAAATATGAATTTTTAATATTATAAGTGCTGTTAGCCAATAGGTATAACGAATGGGTTAAAAAAAAGATTCGATTTAGTCCGTCAGTCAGATAATAGAAAAATATTGGATACGTATTTTTTTTCGCTTTAATTTAACAACAAATGGCTTAAGAGGTACTATGCGACGACTTCAAATATGCTTTGCAACAATGTTACTTTAATACAGTTTATCGATACGAAATCAAGTGTCAAAATGGAGTCCAGTGGAGAATGCCGATATTGACATTTCGAAATTGCTCATCATTGATAGAGAATACGAAATAGTGATTTTGACACAATCAAAGTGTCTATTTTTTACGGTGATGACGATTCTTGGTTGTCAGTTGAGTTAGTGAATAGGCCTACTGATATGCTGTTAACTGTACAATTAAGAACAGTCACGCTTTAGTCAAATGTTCCAAAACAAATAATTTTAATTGATATCTAAATGTTAAGATTAAATATAATTAATAAAAGTATCAAAATTATTTTGCAGTACTACATTCAGTGTTTACTGCTTAAGAATTTTTGAAATTGCCGCCCTTTTCTTGTGACACGTTTCGCTTGCCAGACTCTAGTTTACAGCTCTAAGTCAAAAATGGCTGACTACCACCATGACATGAATGCTATAAATTTTAATAAATGGCTACAAGAAAAACTTATACCTAATTTGAATGAGCCAAGTATAATTGTTATGGATAACGCTAGCTATCATTCAGTAATTGTAAATAAAGCTCCTACATTACAAAACCGCAAAAATGAAATAAAAGAATGGCTTAGTATAAATAATATTCCATTTGAAGACTACCACACGAAAGCAGAACTGCTATGTTTTGTAAAATTGCACAAACAAGAGCCAATATATGAAGCTGATGAACTTTTAAGGCAGAATGGTCATGAAGTGTTGAGACTTCCTCCTTACCACTGCGACTTAAATGCTATTGAATTGGTATGGAGTTTGGCTAAACGTAAAGTAGCGAGTAAAAATATAGCTCTGTCTGCAGTAGAGTTAGAAAAGGTGATAAAAGAGTCATTTGAAAACATAACACCTGTAGAATGGAAGAAAATGACAGATCATGTTATACATGTGGAGGATAAATACAAAGAAAGAGATTGTATTACAGAAGATAATTTGGAAAGTTTTATTATCAATGTTGGAGATAGTGATTCCAGTGACTCTGATAATGAATCCCTACATATGGAATTCTTAGATTCAGATTTTGATTATGGTGATTAAATATATATTTTCTTAATCAATACAAACATATTTTTTATTTATTTTATTTTTTTCTTTCTTACATCTCTCTATACTAATATAAAGCTGAAGAGTTTGTTTGTTTGGTTGAACGCGCTAATCTCAGGAACTACTAGTTTGGATTCAAAATAATCTTTTTGTGTTGCACAGCCCCAGTCATTTATATTACTTGTGTATGTTATACATTATTATATTATTAAATAATAATCTTATAAATTACTTATACCTTGTATTTTGCAAAAGTATCAAAATACTTTATTCCAAGAAATGCCTACTGTTTTTAGGGTGGTCATGCTTTTATTTTTTAAATTTGCCGCGCTTTTTCAGTGTCTACTTTCATTAGCCAGACTCTATACATTATTATGTAATAAAAGTACACAGAGTTATAAATTAAATAATAAGTAAGCTGTTGTCTGCTTTTAGCTTCTCTCTTAATATCAAAGTTTCGAAGATTATTATTATTTTTAATTATTATATAATTATTATATTGCATGATGTAGAATCAAAATTACTGTTAAATATTATTATGATTATTTGATATCTTTATTCATGAAATATGTCGGCCAAGAAATATGTCAAACATAATTTATATATCAGTTAATTACGTTTTTTCTTTTTTTTAATATAAGTAAAAAATATAACTATTTATATTCCCTAATTATGGGTAAATTTTATTAGATAGCAACTTTACACAACTACATTCTTAAAAAGTAAAAGCAAAGATTCTAGCTTTTCCATACATCCTGGTCTGTGGTTATACATATATTAAAACAAGTTGATGCTTAAGTAGATTTATAGGTAATTCAAAAATTGGATAAAATCACATCACATACATTTCATGAAGACAATATCATACAAGGCAAGGGTGCATACAACCTGCATGTAAAAGGAGCAGTCAAAAAGTTGAGGTTCAATCAGTTTATTAGCGTCATTAAAGTGACCTTAAATATAATTTTAGATGAATAAATATTAATCTTTTCTACTCCTTTTTGCGAATTTCTAATATTTAAATGCTAATAGAAAAATAACATCGGATAGAGATTTATAGCCTTGATCGTTTGCCAGTAATCAAAAAGTAAGCAGTCAACGTCAATTTGTTATAGTGTGGGCCATTGTTGATAGAACAAATAAACATTCAACAATAATTTTTCAGGAAGATAATTAATTGATTGAATAATTAACATATTCAAATAATTTATTGGGCAAACCATATGGTACCGCAGACATATTCATTACATTCACAGAAACCTTTGCCTGTAACAGGTGAAGTACGTAACATAATATATAAATAAATGGTCCCTTAATATTCAATAAGAAAACTTTTCACCTTTGGCACTTTTTTAAATTTTATTTTAATGAACCAACTTTGGTGAATATTTTTTGTTTAAAAGGCTATGTAATTCTATAGGTCTTAATTCGTGTCAATCACGTCGAATTTCATGATTAATATTTTTTTTGTAAACCTGTCAAATCAGTAAATTTATTAGACTTCATCTGGTACACACAAAATTTATAATTAATGAATAAAACTAAGAGGTTCACAATTACAGATTTTCAAGTTAAATTATTCAGTACTTCATTTTATTATATATTTAGAATGCATTGGATCGTCAGATTTTGTCAAATTAGTAGGTGTGAAATACAGCATAATTTCTAATTAATTTCATGATTTCTCTCTCCTTCTGTATAATTTTTTATCAAACTAAAAATTGCTCAATATCGGCTAGTCTTGGGAGTTGGGCGTAATAGTTCGCAACTGAGATCAAACGAGTTAGTTCGCGGCTCATAAACGAACTAGTTCGCTCTTGTAGTTCGTGGATCGTGTAGATTTCTAGCTTTTCGCTCTTTGTAGCAGTAACAGTTTTAAAACGAGCGAAAGATCTGCCTTATATTGAATTATTTTAAGGCAGTTTTTCGCTCGTTTTGATATTGTTCTTGCTGCTACTAGATTATTAAAAATATTTAATTTAAATCATGGACGCAAAAAATAATATATAAAATGAACGAATAAACTTATCTATGATATAATAATATCTTTAATTTATTTAGGCAGTGAATAATATACTTTATGTTCACCCATATTTCCGCCTATTGTTGACCGATTTAAAAAATATATTTTTATTCGACAGCTTAATGGACGTATGTGCCATGTGGTCCCATTGAATTTTTTTGAAAGCAAATCGGTAACTATAATTTTATAGCTAAATAAATTATGCTTTTCACCATATATCACCTACATACATATTTAGATGATGTGTATTGTATTTCATGTGTCTCAGCTTAAAAACTAAAGATTGCGTATTCAGATTTTTTTTTCATTTTTTTCAATTCATTCTAAATCCAAAAGGAAAATTTTCTATGTTCAAGGAGTATGTTTATTTCTTTATGAAAGTAAGTATGTCAATCGATTTAACTAACTAGCTGTTTTCTGCAACTTCGCCTGCGTCAATTATAAAATATGTCCAACGCTCCAATGTGTAGCTTCCAATAGATGAAAGACTTATAAATCGGTCCAATAGATTTGAAGCCTATCCAATCCAAACAAACAAGCAATCAAATCTTTCCTCTTTATAATATGAGTACAGAATTATTGGACAAAATTGTGTCGAGCAAATAAACAAAATCTTCTTTTCTAAGACTTTCACTACGTTGAATATTATTATTAATACAGATCTATATCTATATTTATAAAATCTATATCGACTTAGCTCGGTGGCGTAGAGGATAAGCGCTGCAGCCTGTGATCATTGTTGTTAAACAACTTTCGCAAAGATCGGTCACGGGATGGGTGACCAAAAAATTATTAAGTATCTCAAGCTACTTCGTGCTTCGGAATGTACGTTAAGCCAATAGCCCTGGTGCATTTCAATTTGTCATTGTAATTATATCCATGTCATCCTATCATGATATGAATCATTTTTTTCCAATAAAAAATACAATTGAATTATTCAATTGTTTTGTTTCTTTTACCAACAGCATCACTATTGGGGTTGTTGATAAATTGTTTTTCAAATTGACAATATATCTGTCAAAGAGTAATATAATACTGCCTGTAATAAACAAATCTGGTAAACGGAAAAACAAGATACTATCTCATTTGCATTTATAAAACGTTTAATAACTATTTATACCTTACCTTGGAATGCTAGCTTCAGCTTTTAAAACTATCTATATAAGGGTTTAAATTTAAAAAGGATTTTCCAAAGCCGAAATATCAAAATGAGCATGCAATCATATGATCAGGCTCCAGAGCATTTCCAACAATTTCCTCCTAATAGGATCATAGTTATTCACCCTGGATCACTCTATATACGAATAGGGAGAGCCTCAGATCTTTTACCAGTGAAACAGCTTCATTGCATCGCTAGGAAAAGACGCCTCGGCGGCAAAATTTACAGAGACCCCTTTATTCCGCCCAGCGTGCCGAAAACAAAAGAATTGATTGAAGAATTGGAAGAGTGTCGTTTACAAATCTCGCACACGTTACAGACGTGTGTACAATCAAACGGCGCGCGGCGGTATGCTACTCCGCCACAACAAATCGCGGCTTTCAACCGACGCTCCATGCCTGAATGTGTGAGTGACGGTGAACCCTGGCCGCAAGTACAGTGTGATATTATTGTAGGTGATCTAGTCCTCGATATTGACCCTGAGTTACCATACAACATACATTTTCCTTACCGAAGAGGAGATTTCAATTTACATTCAGAAGCAGGAGGCTCAATATCTTCGGTACTCAACGACTTGTATACCATATGGAGTTCTATCATAGAATACAAGTTAGGTATACCTCTAATTGAGCTTATAAAGTACAGGTGTGTATTATTAATACCAGATATTTACTCCAGAAGTCATTTGAAATGTTTGATGTCATTATTATTAAGAGATTTGGGTTTTGGACACTGTTTCCTTGTGCAGGAAAGTGTAGGAGCAACTTTTGGTGCTGGCATTGGTTCCGCCTGTGTAGTAGACATTGGTGATCAGAAAACTGCCATTTCATGTGTAGAAGATTGTATTTCTCATAAGAGCACCAGATTGAGAATGGACTATGGAGCTGGTGATGTTTGTCAAGCTTTATCTTGGATGTTTCACAAAAGTGCATTCCCATATAAAAACTGGACTGAGAATATACCAAGAGATGTTGTATTAATGAGAACTTTGTATGAAAGCTTCTGTCATGTTAACTTAGACATATGTGGTCCACAGGAAAAATCTTTTCTTGTAGATCATCCTGGAGATGTTGTTAGCAAATACACATTGCAAGTTGGTGATGAATGCATTATTTCACCCTTGTCAATGTTCTATACTGATCTCTTAAAAATAACTGGTTCTAAAACTACAAAAACACAAATTCGTCAACCGAGTGACCCTGAAGATCCATTTGATGCAGAATTTTTGAGAGAAACAGGAAGAAAACGTGAAACTGCAGATCCTACTGCAAATGAGAATCAGCAATTTGAAGTGACTAACGATACACAGCCAAATACAAATCCTGATGATGATATTGTTGTTGATGCTTTAGAAGGTGGTCCTGGAGATGTGACTCTTGCTCCAGGACAAGTTTTAGCTTTAGATGCAGCTATACTACAGAGTATAGACCATTGCCAGAGTGAGGAATTAAAAAGAAAAATGTACAGTAATATTTTAATTGTAGGTGGTGGAGTAAAAGTGCAAGGACTCTACCTATGGTTACAAAACCGTCTAGCATTACAAATACCATATACATATAAGACTGAACAGTTAGAAATAGTTACGTCACCAAAAGACATTGATCCGGCAAGCACTGTGTGGAAAGGTGCTGCAGTGATGTCATGTTTAGAGTCTGCAATTGAATTGTGGATTAACCAAAATGAATGGAATAAGTTTGGTTTAAGAATATTGAGAGAAAGGGCCCCTTTTATTTGGTGATAAATGTTGAAAGTGCAATTTTGTATCATAAATATAATAATAATATATAAGCCTTTTATTTTGAATTTCGCTAGTTTAAAATTAACCCTACAAAATGCCTGATAGTTCAGTGTGCCTCTTGGCACACATTGGACATCAGTTTCCACCGAGTTGTTTGCTACCTTTCTTCAATGGTTATCCAGGGCCTTTGCGAACGCCGTTATATCTCCGGAAATGTCTGTCTCGCTCCACCGCTCATCCAAATAAAAAAGAGGATCGCCCATCCGATTACCTGCGAACGTCGCTTAATCTTCGCTATCGCACCATTCGCCCTATCACGCAACACCTGTCCCATCCTAGCCCGCTCAGTCCAATAAAAGTAATTGATCACCCATCCCATTACTGGCCTTTGCAAACGTCATTTTATACGGTTTTACTGGACTAATTCCAAATAATATTTAATCTTATACTTTAATATTAAAAAAAGAAAAAAAATTCTCCGTAAACGACTGTACTACTCAGTCAAATAGAAAAAAGATCACTAATCTGATTACCAGCCTTTGCGACCGTTGCTTAATCTTCATTATCGTAGATCAAACGAGCAAAATTAAATAGATAATAATCAACAATAAAATATATATGTATTTTATTCAAAATTACCGCCATTGTTTATAATACAGCCCCTTAGAAGATTTGGCTAGGCATTAATGGCGGCACGAATTCGCTTTGCTTCTCAAACAAGGGTTAGTGACTCCAAGTTTGGGTGGGACTTTCGGCAGGCCCTGAACTCTAATTCAGTCCATAAAGAATTATCCAGCGGGTTGAGGTGGAGGAAGCCACTAGTCCGTCGCGATGAAGATCGGTAGGGGAAGATTGGCACCATTCATACACTTTTTAGTCAATGATTTTTAAAATATTGATAATCAAAGATAAATTACTCAATAACTTATTAAAACATAAAGCATACTTTCTGCTCCTTATTTAAAAAGTTTAAAGCCGATATCTTGTATAATATATCAAAGGATTGAATTTTACTAAAAGCTTATGAATGTCCAAATCTACCCCTATTACGGGGTACAATCGTACATGGGCCGGGGAACATTCAGACAGTGTGGTAACTTCATATATATTAAGTAAAATAACAAATTAATTAAAAAAATAGTTTTCATTGATCTCAAACTTATCAACGATGTAATAAACCAAACGACATATGCCTATATGTTGTTTAGAGTCTAACTATCTTTTTTACGAAAACAGTGCATCCATTCTATATCAGCGAAGCCAGTTTCATAACAATTTTGCAAACATTTATATTTCAAAACTTTATCATAATCATTTGATAGTGTTGTGACTTCCAATATCGTGATTCCGAAATGTGTTTTTGAATTTTTGTAATTGATTAGTCTTTTCAGTAAAACTATTTGGTATTTACTATATAAAAACACCTTTTACAGACCCAAAAAACTCATTTAATGAATATTGGGAATGTGTCTGCCTTTTCTTCTTAAAATTCCGATCATTTTTCTAAATTTTCTGATATAATAATAAATATTGTTAGCACACTGGGGGTTAGGGGATACATATACACGCGTACGAGTGTGCCCTTGCTGGAAATGTACGAACGTGCCCCGAAGATCAAGAATAAAATTATTTTTTCTAACACAAAACCCACGTAGAAAAATACACAAAATAGATATATTATTATTATCTTAATCGTATTCACTTACGATTAAGCAATAATCCAGTAAAATTTGACGTGTAATTAAAGTACGTAAGATCCAAAAACATTAACAAAATATTTACTATGAGCATGCCAAAACACTTTAAGTTCTCTAGTTTCGCTCGCAGTGGCTGCATGTGTGGCTAACTTCGTGGACAACTGGCAGTCGCCGGCACCTATCCACTGACACAAAGTCGTAATAAATAGACTTTTCTACAAGATGTAGTAGTGACTGTATGAAGGTTCCCCGTGTACGAATGGTGCCAAACTTCCCCTACATTCTCCCTCAACTAAGCTTAGGTGCTTTTTGCCTTGTGGGATGGCGCAGTCTTGCTGAAAAACCCAATCCCTTTTGTGAAATAACTTATATGACGGGTTAGTCCGCCACTGAGTGATAGGGTTATATCCCTTAGTGCATACTTATTTTCTCTCTTGGTCCTGTTGTGGACTAGTATTAGATGTTTCTCTGGCTTGACATATTTTGTAGGTATGTCGTAATTTCCATCTCGCTTTGTTATTTCGTTCTTATTTCGCTAAGAGACTTGGCCAATTTTATTATAATGTCATTACTATACTGTTTGTTGTTTCCATTCTCAAAAATCTTACCATTCGGTGGTTTGTATTAAAATTAAAATTTGATAGTACTAATGTCTGTGAAGGCCAGTGGCGTAGCTACCAAGGGGCAAGGCGGGGCAGTGCCCCGGGGCCCTCAAGCTCAGGGGGCCCTCGAATATTTACCAGAAAATCTCAATCGAACTCAACTTTTGAAAATTTCTGCCATTTCCAAAATAAATATGACAGGTAACAACTCGAGTTTAGTCATGGCAACTCAATTGTGAGAAATTCCAAAGTTATAAAAACGAAAATTATTTGTGTGGGTTGACAGTGTTATTAATGTTTTCATCCATTTGTCGGATATCAATATTATTTATTATATTATATATTATTTATCGATATGCGTTTTTGTGATTCGCGATTGTGAACTTCGAGTCAAGATTTTTTCGAGAATGGTTAAAAAGTTAATGTATCAGTAGTAAGTAAGCGTATGTCAAAACATTTTTTGTACCGGTCCATACAAAAGTTTAATTTTATTTGATTATAGTACGTATACATAGTTACGTAAAGAAATCTATAGATTTCGGCTACTCACTATATAACTCAAAATACCGTGAAAAATACAAGTCACATGCGGTAGACAAACAACGCCAAGAAAGAGAAGAAAGTAAACAAAAATTGCCCAAAATCGACAAGTTTTTTAGTCAGCCTTCTGCAAGTACTTTTGGACAAAATATTTCTATGGATAATTTTTGTAAATAGCTTGCATGGCGATAGGTTCAATAACAGTAAGCTGGTGCAACGTATCTATGAATAAATAAATGTATAATAAACCCTTGAATCTTTTCTATTTCGTTTTATTGCCCAATATCTACACCAAGTATAAAAATAATTGTAATTTGTGTTGTTAGTGTTTATAGTTTTATTACCTGCCCATACCAAAAAAGAGCTGATGATAAAGTTGCTTAGCATTTTTAAAGTATTTGTATATTTAATGATTTTACTTCAATAAACCTTACCCATTTTGATAGCAGTGGGCCCCATTTTTTTATTTGCCCCAGGGCCCTAGGTTTCCTAGCTACGCCACTGGTGAAGGCTTTTGAATAATTTGTTATTATGAAGTCAATTTTGTATTTAAATAATTTTAAAATACCTTTATTATCTTGGACAAAATTTTTTTTCGAGATTGAAAGGTACCGCTGAAATTAAAAGGCATATATATGGGAAGGGTGTTTTGTGTACCTTAAAAATTGCAAACAAATAGTTAAAAATAGTTTATTAAATGCTGTAAAATATGCATTATACTTTACAATAATTTCATTGGAGTAGAGATTCCATAGTATTTAAGTATATTAAGAAAAACAAACTTACTGTTAAACATTATGTTAAAAGGGCAGTCTTATTTCAATTTATTATATAACCTAATTAATAATTATGGGCAATTATCCATAATATCACAAATTATATTATATTTTCAGTATTATAAGCAAATCAGTGATAATTGTTTTTGTAACATCATATTCATTTTCATCATATACTTGGTTTCATATAAAATGTAATACGCATTAGTACAAAAGAGTAGCAAATAAAAGAGGGCGCCTCTGTCCTTTATAAGGCAACAATTTTCATCGAAATCAATTTTAATGTTATGTTGACACGCAATTGTATCGGGGTGTTGCTAGCTAAAATAATAGTTGTTCCCCTTTATTCTGTTTTCTACTCTTTTGTTTCGAATAGTACCTATGCTCAGGAAGACATTCGTGACTACAATACAATTATTTTCTTTCATAATATTAAGTCATGGATATGCATGCATATACTGGGAAAAGAATTAGTCTGTGCTCAAATTTTTATCTTGTTTTTATTACTATAAATTATAGACGTCCTGTTATGGACCTTCATTACATGGTGTTTAAATATAGTCCGTTTCCCATGCTATGTGAAAACGACTATACATTGAAACACTGCACGTGGCCTGCTAAATGTCATTCTCGCTTTAGTAACGAACTGTCTCAGAAAGAGACGTCATTAGAGTGCTAATATGTTTAATACATATTTAAGTCAGATTCAGAACCATACCTTCAATACGATAAAACTTAAAATCGTTTATCTGTAATTTAAAGCCGTTCTGTATTTGAAGTTCACTGTACGTCATGAAGTCCACATTAAGTAATAAAGGTCATTTTATCAATGCTCAACACTTAATTTCCCAATGACATAATAAAAATTCTCTCCCCTCATAAGAAAATAAAAAAAAAATATTAAAGAAATTGAGCATTATTACGTAAGCTGTTTTCTACAGTACGGACGCTAAACAGAGAAAGTTTCGTGCGCAAACATATTTCTATTGCGCTCGCACTGATGTATCTAGCCAATTTAATCACAGTAAAGTGAACCTAAAATGTTTACGATATCTATCGATAGGCACAAAGGTCAACTTACGAAATGTTTTCTGTTCGGCGATCGTACTGTAGTAACAATTTGAATGACGATAGGTAAAAATAAATAATACAAAAAAGTGTAGGTATACCATACACTTTAAAACAATACTTCTTGCTCTATGGTAACTATTCATAGTGGACACATATAAAACTACGCTAAATTGACACGACACTGGCAACTCCCAAAAAGGAGGAATAAATTGCCATTTAAAAGAGTAAATACTCATATAAAAAACAATTTGTACTCGATATTATTAACTACTTATAAGTACATTATAAATGCGTATGTTATCTAATTTCGGAGAGTTGGTCACCAGCTTTAAACGATACAATTATATCTCTGCCACATTTCCTTGCTCTTGGATGAAAAAATAGATAATATACAACCATAATTATCAAACCAATAACGTATGGTATAACAGTTAATAACAAGAGTGGTAAAAAGTACACAGTATTTATCAAGTCATTGGTGGCATAGACAAACCAGAGGGCGCCACAAGTGATATTTTGGAGTAGGCAAGTAGTATAATATATTGCATACCGGTATCTTGTTCGTGCTTCGACAGATAGTATATAAGTGAACAGGTAGACTGCTCCGAGGGCTAAAGAAAATGCGTACTCAGCGATTCTGTTGTGTGAACAGAAGGTTGGATGTTCGAAGATCTGGATCCAGGCAGCCATGACAAGGATGTGGATCCCGCAAGCTAGGATGGTCCAGTAAGGGAACAAATAAGCCATCAGGGCTATAGATACTACGCGACTTACTGAAACAAATATAAGAACTGTAGAAGTGAGTTGCTCGCTCGCATATTTAATTCGCTACTATTATACCTATATAGGGAATGCCAAGCTTGATTAGGTTACACAATATTGTTCCTTAGTTAGTATCTAGTCTTTGTAGACTGCTGCGAGAATGACCTTGGCATTAAGTTCACCTTTTGCTGGTGTTGATCTACATTGAATTGAAGTCCAATTGCTTCTGATGATATTTCTCAAAAGATGGCAACCCTGCACACACCTATCTTTTTACAAATATCTGGTTAGTACTTTACAATGAAGCATGTGATAGTGATCAGAACACTAAACTTATTCAAACAAGAACAATTAGTAAAACCTCGACCGACATATAAAAATAAAATATTCCATTGGAATATTTATATCTAGAGACGGATTTGTAGATCATTATTAGTCTTATGGCACACAATATTTTATACTATTATTGGCGGCCCCAAGCCAGGGTCGGCCCAGGACCAGGACATTAATTATGCCTTTTAATACAAGTCGCAAAATTATCAACTTTCTAAATTAGATGATTTATATATCACATCACCATCACCAGCCCTTTTACGTCCCCACTGCAGGGGCTCAGGCCTTCCTTATGGATGGTTAAGGAGGATTTATATATAGCATTGTGAATACTTACATGTTAGTAAATAATGGTAAACAGTCTGCAGTCCGGAGCCGAACCAGCTCATGTTGTATTTGTCCTGTTGAGCGTACCTCACCGCGCGCTGGTACGCTGCCAGGCACCAGCTCATACCGACCAGAGACGAACACATCGACAACAGCTGGTGAACTAATCACGAAAACAACAGTTCAATGGGATAAGTTAAACATGAACTAAAAGAGACGTATTAAGAAAATTGAAGAAACCATTGGTGTTGACTACAAATGCAGACTTTTATACCCAGGAATTAAACTTAAACTAGGTAGGTACCAGGGTTGTCGTTGATGCAGGTTTTTCCTATATTAACGGATGCTGATGCTGATATTAATAAATTACTTAAATTAATTATATACCACAAAATTATTAGCAAATGTGGTATGCTATTTATAAAACAGAAGTTATATATACTTATATTTCATTTCATTTCATTCCCCTGCCCTTATCCCAATTTTATTTGGGGTCGGCGCAGCATGTCTTTTTCTTCCATATCTCCCTATCTGACGTCATCTCACTAGTAACTTCCTTTCTCACCATATCGTCTTTCACACAATCCGTCCATCGTTTCTTTGGTCTTCCTCTTCCTGTATAGCCATCCACGTTCATGCTCAAAACCTTTCTCACAATATTTTCTTCCTCCTTTCGCATAACATGGCCATACCACGACAACCGGTTTCCACATAACTTTTCGGTTACCGGTGCCACTTTCAAACTTCCTCTAATATACTCATTTCGTACTCTGTCCATTCGCGTAACACCACACATTCCTCTTAACATTCTCATCTCAGCTGCATGCAGTTGTCTTTCATTCATCCCTTTTATGGCCCAACATTCTGATCCATACAGGACAGCAGGTCTGACCATGGTCTTATAGATCTTCCCCTTCAGTTTAAGGGGAATGCGGGGGTCACAAATGGTTCCCGTAACCTGCCGCCATTTCATCCATCCTATGTTAATTCTGTGCGTAACTGTCCGATCTATTTCGCCATCGCATTGTATAAGTGAACCGAGATACCGAAAGTTGGAGCAAACTGGAAGAGGCGCGCCGTCAAGCGCTATGGCTTCAGGACTAGAGAGACCGCCGAAATCGCAGAACATGTACTCTGTCTTGGTTCTGCTGATTTTCAGGCCAACATTCTCCAGTTTCTGTCGCCAGTCCTCCAGTCTGCTCTGGGTCTCCGGTCCATCTTCTCCAACCAGAACGATATCATCCGCAAACAGCATGCACCAGGGTGCCTCCTCCTGTATCTCCGACGTCAGTGCGTCCATTATCAACAAGAAGAGGTAAGGACTCAAAGCCGACCCTTGGTGCAAGCCTACTGCCACATTGAACTGGTCGGAGTTGCCAGCAGATGACCGGACATATGTACAAGCTTGCCTGTACATGGCACGAATTAAATCCACATACTTTCCCGGCACACATTTTTTCTTCATGGCCCACCACAACACCTCACGAGGCACCCTATCATACGCTTTCTCAAGATCAATGAACACCATGTGCAGGTTCTTATGCGCACGTCTGTACTTCTCGCACAGTTGGCGGAGTGCAAAGATGGCGTCCATTGTCCCTCGACCTGGCATAAACCCAAACTGATTTTGAGTAATCTCACTCTCTTCTCGCAATCTTTTCTCTATCACCTTCTCCCACACTTTCATACTATGTGACATGAGCTTTATCCCTCTATAGTTGCTGCAATCTTGTACATCCCCTTTATTTTTAAAGATGGGTACTAGCGAACTAGTGCACCAATCTTGTGGGATTACTTCTTCATGCAACAACTTGTTGAAGAATAAAGTCAGCCACTCACATCCGTCATGTTTTAGAACCTTCCATGCTTCAACTGGTATACCATCTGGCCCCATGGCCTTTCCATTTTTCATTCCTCCAACCGCTTCCATCACCTCATCCATGCTGATGTCTCTTACTAAACCCTTGTTTACTTGTGCCTCTTGAAGTATGCCATTCCATTCATTCTCTTCATTCATAAGCTTTTCAAAATACTCCTTCCATCTTCCTTTTATTTCATCATCATTGCATAAAATCTTGCCTGAACTATCTTTCACACATTTAATATGCGTTATATCTCTCGATCGTCTTTCTCTCTCTTTTGTAATTCGGTAGAGCTCCTTTTGGCCTCTTGGGCTGTCCAGTGAGTCGTACAACTTCTCCTGCGCCTCAGCCCTGGCAACTGCTACCGCCTTCTTTGCTTTCTTCTTCCATTCCTTGTATACTCCCTTTTTTTCTTCTTTCAAACTAACATTCACATTGGCTACGGCTTGCCATTCCTTAAATGCCATTTTCTTTTCTTTTAGGCTCTTTTGCACTTGTTCATTCCACCACCATACATCTCTATCTATCAAACCTTTGCCTTTCGATTCTCCAAATACTTCTTTTGCAACTCTCCTTATACAATCCGCCACTTCATTCCAACATTCATCCACAGATTTTCCTTCCATATCATTCATTTCTATCATTTTATCTACAACCTGTTCTCTAAACGCGCTAGCCAAATTTACATCATCTATCATACGCCATCTAATCCTGGGAGGGGGCCGTTCCTTGCGATTTTTCGACGAGACACTTAGTAGCACCTCCATCATAAGTAGTCTGTGTTGGGCAACTACTGCTTCGCCTGGCAGCACTTTGCAATTTTTGACACAGCATAGACTCCGCCGATTTACCAGGAAGTAGTCTATCTGTGTCGCGCGGTGGCCACTTTTATATGTGCACTGCTAGATGCTCCTCTCTTTTCTTAAACCACGTGTTTGTAATCGCCAGGTCGAAGGCAGATGCAGCCTGAAGAAATGCCTCGCCGTCAAAATTTCGGCTTCCACATCCCCATCCTCCATGCACTCTCTCATATCCATCTTTCTCTCTTCCTACATGTCCATTAAAATCCCCACACACATAAACTTCTTCACAGTCCCGCACATTCATCATCAAACAGTCAAAATCCTCCCAAAATTTGTCCTTTTCAATGTCTTTACAACCTGATTGCGGGGCATACACGCTAACTACATTTAAAATCACACTGTCCACAATCAATTTTATGCCTATTATTCTATCACTCACTCTTTTAACATCCACCACACATTCCTTCAACTGACTGTCTAACACCACACCCACACCGTTTTTTTTGCCATCACTTCCACAGTAGAAAAACTTATATCCTTCTCCTAACTCTCTAGCTTTTGTACCCTTCCACTTCGTCTCTTGCAAACACGCTATATTTATTCTTCGCCTCTTTAAAACATCGACTAGCTCTCTTCCTCTTCCATTCATCGTACCTACATTCCAACTCGCACACCTCAATCTTATCACTTTCACACTTTGGGCTTGCTTCTTACGTCGCACCCACCCGTTCTGATGCGACAACCCTTGTCCATTTCCCACAGGAGCCGGGTGCTGCCCCTGCGCGTCGCCTGTGGGGTACGCCCTAACCCTATCACTCGCAACATTCCTACCTTTTTTCATGCTGCAAATAGGTTTTGGCTTATTTTTACAGTCGGCCGCCTGCCTGACACTAACCCTCTTTGGAAATGCTGTCGTGGTGGTTTACCCGCCACCGAACGGGTTGCCCAAAGCTCTGGTGAAATGCACTAGGCTAGTTCCCTTTAGTCGCCTTTATGACACCCACGGGATAGAGCGGGGAGGGAGGTCACATTCTAATCCGGGACCACACGGTTATATATTGAAGATCAATTATTCGTTTAAAATTGTTTGTTCGCAGTGCAAATAAATACGTGTTTGATATTTTTCAATAATGTAGCTGATGATCAGACAAACAAAAATTAATCATTATCCCTATTGATATTGACAGCCATATCAAGCAAATTAGATTGACGAAACAAGCTAATGAGCGACCTTTTATCAAAATGGCTGTTGAACTTTCCCCACTTGAGTTGCGCGAGAACGATCTCGTCATCAACGAACAACGTCACGACTTGAATGTCAGCATTAATTTCTGATATTAAAAACAATGCTGATAATCAGCGGATGCTGATGCTGACATTCGAAACAACACTTCTGTCATAGCGTCCTCTAAAACTAATATCGTTCTATGTATTATTTTTAGCGAAAAATATTTAAAGAATCCTCTTTATTCCTGGCACACTGCGATGGGACACGAAACTTTCGCAAACCGGGCGACTGCTCTAATCACTCAGGACCCAACAGGACTGACGAATTTTTCAAGCACTTGTTATTTTTTCGCTACTATAGAGCGTATCATCATAAATGTTCAGGCAATCTACTCAAACAACCGAAAGAAATATTTTTACATATATTTAAACTTTCGATAAAGAGGAAAAATTTTTCTAATTATTATATTTGATCAATTTTCCATTCACATAATGAAAAAATTGCTATACTGAAAAAATCCCATCTCAGAGTACCAGGGACAAAGTGGATTTTTTAAGCGCTTTTCACTAAGAATATTTTTCAATATAGCATTGTGCATCCAAAATTGATCAAATACCTATAATAATAATATGTATTTATTTTCGTTTACTGTCTACACCCGTATTCTTTAGTTTTAAAAACAAAATAAAATAATTTGTAATCTTACCAGTAAATAATTCATGGTGGGTTAGCAGCAAACTAGATTGCAGCACCAGCTGAGGAGCTGCCTCCAGGAAGCACTCGAAAATCCTTAGGAGTGCCGCATCGCTGTCTTCTTTCAGCATTAGCCCGTAATAATGCCTCTGTGATACCGGGTCATTTTTGCGTTCGGCACGTCGAGATTTAATCGCATAGCTTGAACAGAAATTTCAGCTCTAAAAATTTGAAAGTTTTGTATGTTTTCTATGGAATTTTGGTCCAATAAAACTTTGTATTCCAAGAGCCATTCAATGTTTTTAGAGTGTAAACAAACCAACCAAAAGCAAAGCAAAATACCTGACTTCGCTTTGCCTAATGTTTTTATCTAATAAATAACATAGAGATGATATGTTCATTAAAGTTTGTGTTTTATGTACAGTAAGTAAACAAGGTATATATTCGCATGGATGTCTTTCTCAACATAGTCATTGGGTGAAATGTACATACAATAGAACGTAAATTTTACATAATGGCAAGGACATTGAACTAGTGTTGCCAACATCAATGATTTCGAGTCAATTAAACTGATTCTATCAGGAGCAAATCAAATTTGAAGCAGTGTTGCCAATTCTTCATTAAACCTAGTGATTTGAATTCTCTATTTGGTGGTGCAATATTGCTTTTAGTTATTGATAGATTTTCTAGCGGTATAAAAAAATCGCTTTGGCTACATACAAAACCACTGATCTAATTTGAAATAGATTTATTGGTTTATTAGCATTTATTGTTTTTGCAATTATGTACACACGCTGTTTACTTGTAGGCTCACTTTTTGTAGTAACATAAAACATCATGATAAACTTAATTGAAACGTAATTCGTACATAAAATCAGTGTCCAAAGAGAACGCAAAGTCATTATTCCTGTAAGTCATTGTTTTACATTCTTCTGTTGTGTTGCCGAGTAAACATTTCCTGTTATTATCTATCATAGTGGGCGAATATTGTTGTTATGTATCTGTATTGTGTTCATTTTGAAATGACATTATGATAACAGAAATAGAAAATGTTAAATTTTTATTTTATTGGAGAAAATGTGTTTATTTTCTAAAATGTTCTTAAAATTTCATGACAAAACTATAATGTCATCAAAATTAACTTTGCAACTTTAGTATAAATAAAAATACTTACATTAACGCATCAGTAAATCGCAGGATAGGTGCCAGTTGCAGCACCAAAATAATTACACGCAAACAACGTCTCTTAGTAAACTCGTTGGAAACAGAATCCTGCTGTTTATCCTGTGAATACCTAAGAGCAATAAATCAAATTATATTTTTTTAGTAAGAATTACTTTTTAAATCAAGGACAGATATTTACTTATAAATTTTGTTTAAAGGTAGTTTTTTAATAATTCAGTGATACCTATATCTTACACTGTGATAAAAGAAATAGATAAAATAATAAAACTCTGTTGATCAAATAAAAATATTATGGTTGATAAGACTACAAGCATTAAAGGTATAAAGGAAGTGGAGGATAATACACAAAAACATTTGACTTAAGCTGATATTAGACATTCCATCGAAAATCAACAGTGAACGACTTTTTGTATACGATGAAACTTCTAATTTCGACTTTACTAAGATAATAGTTTGCAGAAACATTTTTTGATTGAGTCTTGCTGATTGGATTTCGTCCACATCTACAGAAATGAGTCTACGCTGATCTTATATTCTATACGAACTGATAAAGAACCCCCTCTTTGTCGCTAGTAATATAATACAAAGTAATAATCATACTTACATCCTTATAGATACTGCAGTGTTTACAAACGCTGGTAGAAGTATAAAAGCAATGGTCCAACCAAACTCCATCATCTTTTTAGCAAAGAAATATCTTATAGCAACATTTATATCCAGCCCCAGGTCGACGAAATGGCCAACAATCGCAAAAGTATACAATAGAATGTCCAAGTTTGTTATGGTTATTTTATCGGGCATCCGATCAGGTTCGTCGTATGAAACATCGTTTTGAAGTAAATCTCGTACTGCACGAGGCATATTTCAGATTGTAATAAAATACAAAATATTTAAATAAAACATGTGAAACAAAATCATATGTTTTGCGCGCTCGCGTTTTGTTTCAGTTTGTGTGTTTGTGTCAAAGACATTTTTTTTTTTTTTTTTTTTGGTTCAAATTTTCCCATTCCTACAGGGGAAGGGGAAGGCAAAGGGTGCTTAGCCCATACAGCCTTGTCATTTGTAATTATATTCATTAATATTCTTATTCAACGGCCACAGCCAAGTCTTTTTTAATAGAAATTTGTATTCTCAGTCTAAGTCAAAAGGCCGAAGCCAAGTCTTTTTAAGTTTTATGTGGTTACATCTTATTTACAAATTAACAAGCGAAATATACAAACGAAGGAAATTGAAAATAAACAAAATTAAATTGACATAGAAAAAACAACGTTAGATTTCCCCAATGGTTGAGGTTACATATTCGTAAATATATACAAAGCACTCCTTTTTCTTCAGAAGTTGCTGAAGCGAACGCGGGATGTCATCAGCTTTTTTATATATACACAGAAGACTGTCTATAAGAATTATACGTTGGAGACTAAAAGAACGACAACTGAAAATTAAATGATCAAGAGTTTGTTCAGCAAGGTTGCAAAATTCACATGTTGATGAAGATAAGACTCCAAGGCGAAACAAGTGGGCACCAAAACGACAATGACCTAAGCGTAATCGGCAAATAGTGGTGTAGAATTTTCTGTTTCGAAAGATTCCTCCATAGAACCATGGAGGAGAAATCTTGGTTTTAATCTCTGCCAACCACTTTCCTTTGTTTTGAACAATTTGTTGCCATTCGTCATAAAATTCCTTGACAGCTGAGGATTTAACATGAGATAAAGCATCAGAAGCAGGAATTGGAAAATTTAAAATTGGGACACTTTCATAATGATCAACAATTGATTTAGCCAGGTAATCTGCTTGTTCATTTCCAAACACACCTATGTGAGACGGAGTCCAGAAAAAAGTGATTTCTTTAGAATGAGACAAAGAAGAATATTGCTTACGAATGTTGTGAGTTATGTAACTAGTTTTTGAAATACACTTAGGGTTTTGAAGTGATTTTAATATACTCATGCAGTCTGTAATTATTAACCATTTCTTTCCCTGCTGACTTGCAATATATTCCAGAGCAAATAAAATAGCAAGAGATTCTGCTGTGTAAATGCTAGCCATATCATTTAACCTATGTCCAAACCCACTTCGAGTTTGTTTATTATACACAGAAAAGGATACAGCATTATTGTTTTTAGAGCCATCTGTGTATAAATGATTGTAATCCCTCCACTTATCTAACTGTCTATATACATCTTGTTTACATTTTTGTTCATTTATAACTATACTAACTTTACAAAATTTTGAATTGTAATTTCCTAAATAGCAAGGCCAAATAATACTAGAAAACAAATTATTATCATGAAAAAACTGTACATTTTCAGTAAAACCCTGGATTAATGAGGTTGAACCGACATCAGCTTTGCTGGCAGCATGTCTTAGCTTAGAAACAAGAGGGTGATCACTGATTGAAAAAATACTGAGAAAGAATTTTGCTTGAAGATATTTGAACCTTAGTGATAAAGGAGGTATGTTGCATTCTACCTGTAAAGAGATGATTGGTGTTGATCTCATGGCACCTGTAATGATCCTTAAACATTTATTTTGAGTTTTTTCTAATTTCTCTACCAAATTAGTTGCCTGTTTATAACATAGAAAACCATATTCAAAATGACTCCTAACCAAAGACTTGTACAGAACTAACAGTGTAGCTGGATCAGCACCCCAATATACTCCAGCTAAAGATTTTAAAATATTGCAAGCTTTGAGAGCTCTGTTTGCTAAATAATCAACATACCTGTTCCATTTAAAATTGCTACAAAATGTAACACCTAAGAATTTAACTGTATTATCTATAGGCATTGTTTCATTGTTATAGTATATTTTAATTGAATTAGGTTTTACAGCTTTTTTTGAAAATATGACTACCTTACTTTTTTCATTGTTCACATCTAGATTGAGATTTTGAAAATATTTTTGTAGGCTTTTTAGGGCAGTATTAAGTTTATTTTGGATATCCAGCTTATTCAAACCTGAACAATAGACTACCAAGTCATCAGCGAATTGTAGGTTAGAAACATTATTACCTAAAACAATATTTAATTGATGGATGTATAAAATAAACAACAAGGGACTTAATATCCCACCTTGAGACACTCCTTTATAGGAATATCTTGGACCAATTAACTGTTTATTGATTTTCACAAATATCTTACGGCCATTTAAAAATTTGTAAATCCAATTTACTATTTTTGCAGGTATATTTAATGATAACAAAACTGAATATAAAACACCTAAATCAACATTATTAAAAGCCCCTACAATATCGAAGAAGACACATGCCATAATTTTATTCTGAGACAGAGTATCATGGATGTCCAGACACAAATGGCTTAGACTCTCCCGAGCAGAACGGCCACATCGGAAGCCAAATTGGTTAGATGGTAAGATATAATTGTTTTCTATATGGAATGTCAGTCTTTGTTTTATTAACTGCTCAAAAATTTTACCTACACAAGAGCTGAGTGTGACAGGGCGATATGAGTGAGCAGAATTAGAATCCTTCCCTTTTTTTAATATTGGAACCAAACAATCTGTCTTCCATTCTTCTGGTATAATAGACAGAGACCAAAACAAGTTTAAAATATTTAAAAAAATTTCGAGACTGGTATCATTCAACAGTTTGAACATTTTATATGACAACCAATCTAATCCACAAGCAGTTTCCTTCCTAGAATTTAAAGCAGATTTTAATTCTTGAAGTGAAAATGGTTCTATCATGTAAGAGTTAGTATTATTAACTTGGGTGTCTGGCAGAAGATTGCTATCATTTTGGACAGTATCTGGTGTATATTTGTATAAAAAATCAGAACTCCATTCATAATTGGAAAACAATGTGGTATTAGAGGTAGAACCTTTTAATTTTCTCATTTGAGTCCACACTTGACTCATCGGTGTTAATCTATTAACAGAGGTACAAAATTCAAGCCAAGACTGACAGCGCTCCTGACGTAAAGTGCGTTTTTTTAGGGCTTGCGCCTTTTTGAAGTTAATATAGTTACATAAAGAAGGACTAGATTTAAACAGTATATAAGCCTTTTTGCAATTTTGAACCACTTTAGCACAATTATCATTCCACCAAGGAAGTGTTCTTTTTTTAAACCCTGACAAGTGACCCACCTTATTATGTTTACTATTATTTATACTAGTTATTGAGTCCTGAGCTACTTTATTAATAATTGAACAGAAATTATTATATGATTCCAATATGTTTGAGTTATTGATTTGGAAATTTATCAAGTTATCATTTATGTATTTTTTATATAAATTCCAATTTACTAGTTTCAGATTAATATGTGGAGGAATGTTCGAAGACTCAACAAAGGACACACCATCACTAATGTCAAGAGAATATTTTGTTATAGTCGGCAGATGATAACTGCCTAAGGAATCATTATGTATTGACCACTCACAAGACAAAACTAAGCACGAAGAGACCATAGTGAGATCTAGGCCGTTGGGCCTCCAGATGTGAGAACCTACTGTTGTTGGCATCCCGTTGTTTAAGAGTACTAAACCATTCTCATCCAAGGAATCCATGATGTCTCTGCCTCGAGAATCAGTACTAGAACAACCCCAGAAAGTATGATGAGCATTAAAGTCACCAGCTATAATCAACGGCTTTGGAACACTATGCAAGAGAGAATCAAATTTGTGTTTTGAAAAATTAGCACTACCAGGACTGTAAAAACTTATAATCGAAATAAATTTATTTTTTATTTTTATTTTGATTGAAATATTTTGCAAAGTATCATCATAGAAAGTTTGTAGCTGTTGAAAATTTATACCATTTTTAATGACGATGGCTACGCCATTGTGATCATTTCCACAATCATTTCTGATTATGTTATATCCGCGTATTTCAATTTTTATATTGGGTTTGAGCCAAGTTTCCGATATTAGAGCTATGTGTATATTATTATCATAAAGAAACTTTTGGAACTCAAGTTTATTATTTAGCAAACTTTGTGCATTCCACTGTACAATATTAACACAATTCAGGAATGTGGAGGGGAATTATTTTTATTTAATAGAGTTTCTTTTATTGCACTACTTATTGATTGAGAACTAATACTAGCATTTTCTGTTTTGTTCAATGTGATTACTTTGACAATTGCTTCAGTGATGAGATTTAATGCAGAACTATTTTTTAAAACTAATTCCATTATGTCATGAGTATTTTCTGTTTTATTTAAAGATGGAAAATTATTTGATTTTAATGCATCTGAGTATTTATTTACAGTTTTGTTTTTATTTTCATAAATTTTCTTTAATTTGATTGGGCACTGTCCTGATATCGCTAAATGGTTACCCTTACAATGTATACATATTGCTTTATCTACTGGAACTGTACATTCCTTAAAAGAGTGACCCTCTGTACAAATAGAGCATCTTTGAGCATTTTTACAGAATTTTGCTAGGTGATCATATTTAAGACAACGAAAACATTGCTTTACTGGAGGGATGTATGGAATTACTGGAAGGCGCCACATTTTAATATGTACATAATCTGGTAGGCATGTTGCCGCAAATGTTATTACAACAGTTTGAGTGGGTTGTAATTCGAAACTGTTACTGCTAGTTTTATTTTTACGCATTATACGTCTGACACAAATAATTTTCTTTGAGCTGGACAATGCTTTATAAATTTTTTTATTGGACATATCTATGGGTACGGATGTAATAACTCCAGATAATTCGGTACATCCTGCAGGAATTGAAGCTTTGATGGACTGTTCCCTCAAAAATGTGGAATTATCCATAAATGCATTTGCTAAATTTGGTCGATCAAAAACTACGCCAATTTTAAAACGATTGATTTTTTTTAAGTATTTTATGCCCTTTACAAATCTAGATAGACAACCACTCAGGTA